TGAACCTGTGTTTAGTGCTTTCAAGTCTCTTAGTTTGTAAATTCATCACGAAATAAATTTGAGATAAAAGTTAAATATTATCTCACGCTTTGCTGAACGACAACGAGGTGCCACGTGGAAACTAAAAATATTTTAATTTGGGCAGTGGCAACGCATTCCTTTTAAATCACTGAGTTTGTTGACTGAATTCGAAACACAAATGTATTGTATTCTGTCGAGAGGCAATACACTTTTTTATATATATCTGAGTTTGGGGATTAAATTTGAATTAGATATCTTATGCTTTGCCGAGTGACACCACAAATCTTTTATTTCGCTGAGTTAAATTCTCACCAAAATATTAAATAAATAAAAAATTAATTTAAAATTCAATATTCGGCCAAATTTCGAGAAGGTAAAAGACTACGTGTGTTCAAAATTTCGTGACTCTATATGCTGCCATTTTCCTACAATGCGATGAACATATATATCCAGGTGTCGGCAAAGTTTGAAACAACCGACTCCAGGTACCGGCAAAGTTTGAAATCCGGCAATCTATAGAATGATTAGGCATTGTATATAATGTCTAAAGCTAGCCGGCGGTGTATGAAACGATTCATATTTCTACCATTTCCTGGACATTCTATAGAATGCCGAATGACAAACCGACAAAGTGTGAAATGCATTTCCGATTCGTTTCAAAGAACCAAACTAGTTATCAGAAGTTAAACAATCTGATGTGTGCACCACAGGACTTCCTTGTACGGAATATTAAATTATACGCATTTTTCTTGCATTTCATTTAAACTTATTGGATTGAATTAAATCTACTTCATCAATAGCGCATAAACCACAATAGAATAAATGCACTCTTTAAAATTAACTATCATTGTTTACCATAGCGACACTCTGGTGCTAGGTTCATTTAACAACGTTACATTTCGTTCATATTATAACTATGTCTATGTCTTATCACTTAGAGGCAATCGACCATTAACGGCCTTTACCAATATATTATACTTGACTTTTAAATGCGTCAAGAATCGAGTAAGTTGCATCCAATAATATGGAAGTACTTGTGAACATACTGTGCTAGAATTCAGAGATTACTAGCGACGGAGGCTCCTGTGCCGCCGTCCGTAGAATAAGTAAACTTTGAACAAATGAGGCGCTCGTGTGACGCCATCTATTAGTAGGGATAAAAAACGTTTCAGTTGACTGGAGCTCTCGTGGCGCCATCTCTTGCAGAATGTATTGGAAGGCATTTTTAAAATTTCACAAAAAATTATTCTTCCAATATTATAACTCAGAATGCACAAAATTTATATTATTTGAAGAATTATCTAATCGTTGCCACATCTTCTATTCAAATACTATAATAAATCTAGAACGATGTATAAAAGAAATTAAGCAAACAGAACTAAAAAGAAACAGTTTTTCACAGACGATTCAATATTTCTCATTCAATTAATTCAATTCTCACTTCGCGAAAAGGCTCAAAATATCTATATTAAAATTACGAAGTAAATCTTAAACACTTATTTCCTCGAAAAAATTCCAGAAAGGATTAAGCGTGGTTTAATTCGCAATAATAAATGAAGGCGTTATCTTTGTTGTTGCGAAGCTTAGTCTCTCTAGATTGGCAACAAATCTACTAATCTGCTGTTTCAAATGTAAACAAACATTTCTGCCATGTTATTTAAAATTTATTCTTAACCACACTTAAATAGCTTTTAAATTGTTGATAATTCTGCAAATTTGTTTGCAGATTTCCTAAAGGCATAAAAGCCTTAATAGGAAGATAAGAAAAATTTAATTCAGTCATTTTTAAAGCAAAAAATGCACAGTTTACAAACATATAAGAGTAAAGCAACTGGGATCACTGAGCCGGTTAACAGAGTGGATATATATATATAAATGTATTTATATGCGTTTGGTGCGGCCGATTGCAACCAAAATGCGAGGTGCACATTTACATGCTGTAGCAGTCCTATATACAAAATTTCAACGTTCTGAGATTACTCGTTTTTGAGTTATGCGAGATACATACCTACGTACGTTTTTCGTGGTGTCTGTACGTACATCAAAATTCATTTTAAAGCAGTTTTATAATTGTTTTAGAGGAAAAGTCTTTTATTCTGGTCTTACATACAGATGTCAAGCAAAAACATCGTTAAATTGCATTCGATAGTTATCAAAATGGATGTTTTCGTTGAAATATGCTGCCTGAAAATTTTCGCGATTACAATACTTCCTTTTTACTTCGTACAAGCAAATAAAAATGATGTAAAAAGGTCAAAATGACTAAGAAGAAACCATAGGATTGCTGGGTGCTGAATCGCTAGGATGTGATGTTTATGAAAAACAAAATCACATTCATTTATCCTGTTCAAGATAGCGTCAGTACTATACAGAATTACGTTACGGACGCAGATTTATTTCTCGTACTCATTCGAGTACTGGACACGAACGACGTGACAGAATGTTGAAAGAAATTTCAACGAAATACAAAATACACGTAATCATATTGAACTTTTGTGAGCCCTGTCAGAAGAAGCAAAAAGATATTTAAAAGGGCATTGTTTATGAAACTTATGATTGTTTTTTAGTTTAATTTCCGTTGTCGGGTAGATCTTATTGATTTCTAGTCTCGGACAGATGTAAAATACAAATTTATTATGTTGTATCAAGATCATCACACTGTCCTTTTTGTATTTTTGAGGAATGAGCGTCTTTAACAGCCTTATCACAACCTTTTATTCATACTTTGCCTAAAGAGTATTTAATCATTCTATAGAGTGCCTAGGCATTATATATAATGACTAGGGAAAGTATATAATAATTCTCATATTTCAGAAATGCCTAAAATCGTCCGGCATTATATACAATGCCTAGGCATTCTATATAATGCTTAGGCATTGTATATAATGCGTTTCATACTTTGCCGTTAACATATACACAGATAGATGAAAATTCTTCATTCTTTTTTAAGAGATAATTAGGAACTTCATCTTTTCAAGTTTCTTCTATTTTTATGACATACCATATTTTGTTTAATTGCAGCAAAGTTTCAATAATATAGTCTGGAATTGGAATATGGAAAACTTCTTTGAATTCCCAGTGGCGTACTAATAGGGTTTAGCTGTATATTTTGCTGCTATAATTTCGTCCCATTATATTAGCTTGGGAAATATTGCCTCAACAAAGACCGAGAACAATACAATGTTTGAAGACTCAAAGAATATCTACCTCTTTTACAATGAACCAGTTTTGTTAACTCAGCTGTGATAGTGTCATGACGTAATATTGAATCTTTCAGCCTAGTTTTATCTGGATTGTTATCTGTCGCTCCTGTTTACGCCAGCTTTGATTCAAATATAATGCAAAAAAGATAAAAGATACAACCTCATTCTGGCAATGACTTTGAACTTATGGAATGTGTTAGAATGTTGAAGCAATTGATGTGGTCCTTTTTGTTCTCAGCAGTTCTCCGTGTAAAGTAAAATTCTATTGAGATGGCAATTTATATATGGCGCAAAAGTCTCCATATGTAGGGTAAAAATGATCTTTTGCTATTGCTGTTATTGTTGCACATAAGCTTTGTTGTGCACAATAACCTATTACACAACCTTAAGTAGTAAGAAGGGTTTTGCATCACTGTATAGAATTCTCATTTTACTAATTATTTCAAAATTATTTGTAGGGAAATTTTGATTGTTATGAATAATAAATTTAGTTTTGATATTAAGATTATAATTCAGTAAAAATTCTATTCTTTTCCTGGCTCCATTGATATAGCATTCTCATTCTCCAACATAAAAATTACTGCGTAACTGTATGTCTCATACCTTTATTTAATCTCTTTAATATCCCTACTAAACATATTATTACTTTTTATGTGAAGAAATATACAACAAATATTAATTTCAGGCTCAAAATTAGATGTCATCTGAATCATCGAATACAAATGCAAACACTAAAAGCTTCTGTAATCTCTCGAATCCTTCATAAGAAAGAATAATAAGCAAGAAAAAATTTCAGTCTTATAGAAAAAATTCGAAATGTGCAAAACTTGAATCTAACGAAAAACTGTATAGTTTTTCAGAATATATAGTTTATTTTTATGTTAATCCTTCGTGTTACTTCTACTTCTTCCATCAGGGTCACCAGAATGCAAATTAACGGGGAAAGAGTTTAAATAGAAGTGAATGCGTAATTTATGTTCGATAATTTGGCAACTCATGAGGAAAGCAGTTCCTCACATCACCAACACATCCCAACTCATCTTCTGTTATTAGTAGGCAAAATATCCTATTTTACTGATTTTGATTAGTAGGTATTATCAAAACCCGCCGGGAATTGAAGAAATTCAACCAATCAGAATAAGTCACCGCCAAAGGCTATTTTGGAAAACCAATTTTTTACGCCAATTTAAAAGGGTTTATTTTTGATTCTGCGATGCCTCTTTTTGTATCTTAGCTAATATAATCAGACTGATATTATTGTTGGCTGAGCTGGTTTGGGTGAGCGTTTTCATGTGTTTGTCGGCGTTTACGCTTAGAGACTGAAAGTAGTTCGAACCGGATTGTCTAGACATTAAATCTACTCCTACGTGTTGTAGTTATATAGGACTTCATGTTCCCAAGATCCCACAAAAAGCAATGTATAAGTTTTAATTGTACTCGCAAGACGTAGTTTGATAATTTTTTAGTTTATTTTTACCCCTCGCCCGTGTTCCTTCAAATTATAGACTTCAGATTAGTGCAAAGACAAGTTGTCCGTAATACAGGATGGCTAAGCAAGATGTAGTGAAAACTTAAAAGGATTTATCCTTACAAATACACTTATCTTTATTATGAAATGACAAATAAAATTTAGTAAATAAAATACATAATTCTTGAATCCTGATTTTCCCAGAATCTCTTAAAACTGGTATAAAAAAGGAGTTAAAACTGATAAGCACTGGCCATGGAACGCTGATATTCATAAACGCTTAATCTTCAGAAACAAGAAGTGCGGTACTCAGATTCACTTGGTGATGATATTAGGGATCCGAGTAAGCTGAAGTTTCAACAATGGCGAACACTTTTACTGGTAATTAATTTTACTTTTTCTAAAGTTCTGAATTAAAACGTTTAACTGCTTTTAGGTTACAGTTCGGAAAATTCGAGTGATTAAAAAAGTTCGAAAGTTTCGCAAGACTTGCGGAATTTGAGAATTCGTATGTCCCATACTTAATTCAATAAAAATTCAATATTGAAAATTGTAGGAAAATTTCAGCCACTATTTTTCCTCATCTCTTTTTATTTTAAGTTTTTGAAATTTGAATAATATTCTCTTTCGAAATACATGTGGCAAAAGATGACAACATGTACAGAATAAGAATCCTCTGATTTCGCTTCTATTTCAAATTATAAAATTACTTTAATGTTACTGACTGTCAGCGTGTGCCTCAAAGCTCTTATAAAAATCCATTTGTAAAGAAATATCAGACTGTACCACTCCCTGTAGTATTCTTTTAGTAATTTGTACAGCCAGCTAGTTAGTTGTTCGTTAGAATTCCGGCCAGAAAGCAATTTATTTTTAATGTCCTGCCTCAGTGAACAAAATGGTCTCCCTATTTGCTTCAAATGTGGTGAACTCGAGGCTACCCGGATATTGTCGACAGGCTTTTGTGCCTATCCCTAGTCGTTCTTAAAATGGGGGAGATTATAAGAAATTTTAGCATTGCTCCATAGGTGCAGTTGATTTTTTATATTTTCTGTTTCGAAAAAAATCTAATTATCTCGATATCGCCCTTTAGTGTCGTCCAAACTAAAAATATTGACGGATGACAGTGCGTCACTATCTGAATTTTGTAGATTTCATCTCGTGACTTTCCGCTATCGCCCTTTTATCTTTCCCGTTTTATCGTTGCTGCTCTTAGCAGCATCTGAATGAGTTGGCTGCCTTTCGTTTCTTAAATGAAAGGACTACCAGCTTGTAGATTTCCATTGCTTTGACCGTCAGCTTCTGGTAAGCTTGAAATCTTCACAGGCAAACGTAATATATAAAGTATAATTAAAATAAAATTTCTCCACTTCTGCAATAGAATTTTGTAATAAAAATCTAAGGGGTTATACTGAAAGAAGGCAGGCAATGGTTGCATCATATGAGACATCATCAAACAGCATCATATGAGAGTAACGTTCATATCAATCAGTACAGATCAGTGCTGATAAAACAGTCAAAACTAGTATGCGGTGAAGGTTTGATTATACAATGTGCTAAAATAAGGGGGGGGGATCACATTTCGCATTTCGCTTTCTTGCAGCAAAATTTCCTCAAAAACAAAAGTCTGTCATACATTATGTCACTAAAAAGAAAAAAATCTGATGTGTACATCACATGACTTCCTTGTGCAGAATATTAAATTATACGCATTTTTTCTTGCCTTTTTATTTAAACTTATTGGATTGAATTAAATCTACTTCGTCGATAGCTAATAAACCACAATAGAATAAATGCACTCTTTAAAATTCACTATAATTGTTTACCATAATGACACTCTGGCGCTAGGTTCACTTAATATTTCATTCATATTATAACTCAGAATGCATAAAATTTATATCATTTGAAGAATTATCTAAGCTTTGCCACATGTTCTATTCAAATACTATACTAAATCTAGAACGATGTATAAAAGAAATTAAGCAAACAAAACAAAAAGGAAACAGTTTTTTCACAGAAGATTCAGTATTTCTCATTCAATTAATTCAGTCCTTATTTCGCGACAAGGCAAAAATACATAAAAACTCAAAATATACATACTAAAACTTTTATTTTTTTATATTGGTTTCAAATGTGAACACATACGTACGCCATGTTATTTAAAAATTAGGCTTAACCACACTTAAACAGCTTTTAAATTGTTGATAATTCTGCAAATATTGCTTGCAGATTTCCTAAAGGCATACAAACCTTAACCGGAAGATAAGAACAACATCATTCCCTCATTTTTAAAGCAAAAAATGCACAATTTACAAACATGTAAAAGTAAAGAACCTGAGATCACTGAGCCGGGTAACAGAGTGGATATATATTACACATTTGGTGCGGCCTATGGCAACCAAAATACGAGGTGCACATCTACATGTTATAGCAATCCTATATACAAAATTTCAACGTTCTGAGACTACTCGTTTTTGAGTTATGTGAGATACATACGTACGTACAGACGCCACGAAAAAATTCTCTTCAGAATTAATTTTAAAGCAGTTTTATATTTTTTTTTTTTTGAGGAAAAGAGTCTTTTATTCTGTCCTTACGCACAGATGTCACGTAAAAACATCGTTAAACTGCATTCGATAGCAGTCAAAATGGATATTTTTCTTGAAATATGCTGCCTGAAACTTATCGCGATTACAATACTTCCTTTTTACTTCGTACAAGGAAGTAAAAAAACATTACGTTTGAGTGTTTGGTTGCGTTCAGTTAGGTTATCCAAATGGAACTCCTTTTTTACCGCGGGATAGACAATGTGGCAGATTGTTGTGCCTTTAGTCTGCCGGTCTCTAAATCTGACTCTTTAGGATATGTTCTCCCGCAAAATTGACCCAAAGCTACAGCGAATAGGGCAATTTTAAAATTCTATTACAAGAATTGAGACAGCGAATTGTTGCAGCTGTGCATTTAATACTATGGCGCAGTTAAAAAAAAGTGACTGAAAGCAAGACACTGATGGCTATTTTTATATATGGTCGACGGATTTGAATGTACTCATAAACTATAGCAAACTTTCCTCTTTACTTTATCAGGCGACATATAACTAAAGTGATAAGATGTTCTGATTTTAAAATTAATACATTTTTAATTTCCCATACCTGTGGGGTAAAAGGGAACCCTACGTTTTAATATCATATTTGAGTAATAGAAAGTTTTCATAGTATGCATTAATTTACCACATAACATTATTACCTGCATTAATTTATCTTATATATCAGTGGCCTCAAACTCAAAACTGCATGTAGGCTGAATGCACAGTCTTGAGAATAACTGACTGGTCAGAAAAAAAATTTTAACGAAAGGAAAATTTTACTGACAAATAAAAGACAATATAAATAAATTTGAAATCTCGCTTACTTATTATTCATCAAAACATTATAAACGATATAATAATACTGCAAAGGAAAATAAGTTAAATTTATATTTATTTTCTGGCTGGAATCTAAACTTTGGTATCCGCAAGACATTTTTGTTGGTTAGATTTTGTTATTCAAATATAATGATTAAATATTAAATTCTCAGACTGCTATTTATTTAAAATAGTTTTAACATTAATTAATCGTTAAATAGCTTACTTTAATTCAAACTGAAGTAAACAAATTATGAAAACTTTCCATGTTTTCAGAGAAACTTTTTTAAGTGGGGCAAAACTTGAGGACAGATAATGACAACATAATCTCTTTCTCTTATTTATTAAATTTTCCTTGTTCACATAAATAAAAATACATACTTTGTACATTAATAATTATAAATTTCTTAATCCTACTATATCTTGACATTTGATGAAGTTTTGATTCTGATAAAGTTTGTAGTTCTCGAATGAAGTTACTAGAAATTATCTTCATCACCAATTGCAGATGCTCATCTCTCAAGCAGGTTATTTTCTTATTAATTTTCACCTGTAGGGAAAACTATTCACATATAAATGCATTTACAAACAAAGCCATTATTCTTACAGCAAAAATTCGTTATTTATTTTTTGATAAAGTTTATTAATTTTTTGATAAGTACAAATAAAAGTTAATAAAATTTGTATCTTCAAGTCTTTGTATAAGATGTATATCACATTGTAAATTAATTAGCTCCATTTACAGATTTCCTGATGTGTTATTCATGTTCGTTTATAATACTAATAAAAATAATTTAAACTTCCACTTTAAATTACTGAAACCTTGAATTCTTTGCGACACCGTGTTTGTTTCCATATAATTAAAATATATTTGCTGTTTGAAGGTTTGAAACCACTGTTATAGATTGTATTAAAGAGCTGTTTGTATTTCACCCCAGAAAAATAAATATAGCACAAAAATTCTGGGCTAAATATTTATTTTATTTAAACTACTTAATTTCCAAAGATTAAAATTTTAGTCTGTCTACCTGGATTTAATTTTGTTCTGATAATTTCAGTGTTAGAGTTTTTCGGAATCAGAAAAGATGTAAAACTCGCATGTCTCGCCTGGATTCGATCTTCGCCGGTCCTTCTGTTGCCAGCCGGACGTGCTTCCAATTACATCACGAAGGATCGAGGTACGCAAGGAAGAAATATTTTACAGTATGATCGTGCGAATAAGAGGGTGAACATGATGAAAGGACCTGTGAATGTCTCAAGGGGAAAGTATTTTTGCAATCAGGAAGATTCTGCTGCCATCCGAACGAATCAAATAAAGCTATATGTAAAGATGGAGGAAAGATTTTTAGTATTTTTTTTCTAAATTTTATTAGGAAAAAAACAAATAGAAAAAGGGCTCGTTTCTGCTTTAGCTCTTACATAGAATGAAGCTGTGAATTAAATTAATTTTAGTTAAAAAATTCTTCTTTCACTGGTCTACACGATATGGTTGCTAATATTTTCGTAAACAAAATTATAGGGTAACGAGTTTAAAGTCAACTTTGAGTTGAATATATACTTTCATAATTTCACATTCTTTGATATTCCAAAGAATATTTTTTCACGTATATATTCTAATTCCTTAAGGGGGACTATACACCCCTTAATTTTAAAATTGAATGGGAAATTTTAAAATTCTGTACATCTTCCAAATCAGTACACTATATCTAAAATCGAAAGTGCTTTGATTATGCACTTCATGATAACTATAGTACGTCTGTTCAGTATATATAAATTATTTAAGACCTTTTTTTGTATTATAAGAAATATAAATTTTACAAGCAAATAATTTTTAGGGCTGACATCTTGTATTTAACTCACAAGTGTCCAATGCTACATAAAGCTACCACTGGTTTATTCCTGGCCGGCGAGAGATATAAATGCAAGGCGTTTTATGGTTTCCCTCCTTCTACTATCAATTGCACGGAAAAGGAAAAGAAACGCTGCGCTCAAAAGAAACCTTCTTCTCTTCAACAAACTTGCTCTTGTTGTTTCACATGCGAAATATCTGGGAGTTATTATTAATGATCGACTTATATGTTCACATCATACTGATCATGTAAGATCAAAGACACTCATAATCATGAAATATCTTTTCCCTATTATTCGGACGTAAACTTGATCTAAGAAAACAGAGCTTAATTTATTTATCAATGCCGTTATAGGCAAGTGCCCGCCATTGGGAAAAAAAAATTACTTACCAGCTATTAGATCAATAATAAAGTATGCATCTCCTGCCTGGGCAACCGCTAGAGACTCTGAAATAAATAAATTACAAATGGGGCAAAGCAAGTTCCTCCATGCAAGGTACCTTCAAAAATTGAATGAAAAAATTTCAAGAATGCACGAAATTGTGAATTTTTGAACTATTTTAATCGCTTCCACTATGAAGTGCTAACAGATGATCGTCATCTCTGGCCATTTGCAGTCTTCATGATTAGTGGAAATCCAAATTTTCCCGCCTAGTTTTGTCAAGTGCTGGAATTTATTTTATTTGAATATATTTGTAAATATCTAGACATAAAGCTCTGATTTTCCTCAAAATCGAGCAGCAGCTTCAAGAGGACTTGGGACCTTACACGTCATCAAGGACCCATGAATTTCGCAATTTACTGTTGAACTATTTATAGTGATATGCACTTGTAAATATGTATATAACTGTAAATAGCTCTGAAGAACATTGGAAAATTATGTATTATTATTTTTTTAATTGTTTATTTGTTTAAATCGTGTTTTTTTTTTCAGCACTGGAATCTCACAACCAATGAGATGTTTTAGCGCCTCCCAAGTAAGAAGGTAGCTCTTTTCACGCTGCAATCCTGTCCAACTCAAGCATTCAATCACTTCAAGCGCTCGTCAAAGCACTGACCTTATAGTAGCCAGAATAAAACTTCAAACTTGCAAATTAATTATCGGTATTCAGCGGAACTTGGTTTTCCACATGTATAAGGTAAATACTGGTCAGTTTCCCTTTGAACGTCCTCCACGATAGGGAGGTAGTTTTAATGTGTTTATCATGTTTAAATCATTCAGTATTTAACTGTTTTTATTAGCATTATTTCCCCGTCTTAGTAATAATTAAATAAAAAGGAGGGAGGTCAAAATGTATCAGAGTTCCGTATATTAAAAGATAAATTGATAAATAAAAGCAACAAAGAAAGGTAGTTGAAAACTATCTACTATTTCATACTGCCTTATATTTGATACTAAACCGTGGTGATGAGTTATTAGCCCAGAAGGGCTATTAATTTCGTTATGGCATTTTGCGTTGCTTCTGTATAAACGGCATTTCACTTTTCAAACTGTCGCCACTAAATATTAGAGCCCTGCAATATATTTAAAGAATTAAATAATGAAGAATCTGCATAATGAAGTGTGTATGCTTCCCGCATTGTGAAAAAACAGTAGTATGTAGAGACATCAAATTTTGAATAACGTAGTTCTCTACTCAAATATGAACATCTGGAAGCCCATATTTGGAATTTCGAATACTGTTTTACTACCTGTTTCATATTTTTTAAAACTTTAACGAATTTTTGATTAACAAGCTCAACGATTTCAAAGCGAGCAATGTCAACACTGCACGGGGGGGGGGATATTTTCATCTCCAACGCGCGAGACTGTGTATCGAAAATTCTACATATATGCTTATTTTAAAATTATTTTGTGATATTGCTCTTGAACTTAAATTTATGGTTTAGGTGCGAAGAGCTGTTGTTGTTTGTTTTGTTTCTGTATTTTTTATTTTTATTCCTATTCATTTATTTACTAGAAAGTCCTGCGGTCATACGAAATGACCGCTGTTCTAGATATTATAAATTGTAATTAAAATGATTTGTGCAAATGTCTCTGATAATTTTAACTGAATTACCCAGGGCAGGAGGCGAGGATGCTTCTTTGCTTACTGCCCCACGGGGTTTCCCTATTCTACTTGCTTAATTGCTTAAAATAGAGTATAATGAAGGAAACCACTGGCGTGCATTTCTTAAGAGCCCACCGCTAGCTCAATCAATAAAGGTGATTTAAATAATGAAATGTTAATTCACATGTCAAAGATTCTCTTTGTACACAACATTTCTTGTGTAGATCTTTCCGTCATTTTAAGCCTTGCAGATTCTCCAATATTTATGTTCGTCTTTCACGACTCTTGAAGGCAACATAAATTGACCGTGTCCAAATCAGGATTGGTAAATAAATCCACCGCTTAAACGTTTCGCCGAGACTTATTGATGGTAGAGGCAAATTGTAGAGGAAATTGTGCCGTCTTATTAACGCAACCCGGTGAGTGGCAAACCACCTTGGCGGCGCAGTACAAAACAATATATATATGGGGGAAGAACATCACAAATTCTTATAGATAGGGGGAAGTAATTTTTTTGTTCGCTTTTGTCAAATGCAATTTTAAGGGCAATTTTTTTCAAAATTCGAGATTTTTTTTTAATCAAATGGTTAAGTTTTCACACGATCTCTTTACCAACAAACTAAAAGAATCGGAATTTTATTGTGCCATCGACAGAGCGAATAAATCTTTTGAATGAAATTTGAATTTAACGAAGGGGGACGAATCTCAAAACTCTAAATACAACTACATGACGGGAAAATTTTCACACGAATAAAAAGGCATCGATATAGTTGGCAACACAGGTTAAAACGAGACCTTGAAAAATCGGTTCCGCCGCGCGGGCAACGCATTTCTTTCAAGTCATGATGTGAGAGAATTAGTATTTGTAAGCCGAAAGAGGAGATGGCAGAGCGTTCCCGGATCGAACCGCGGACCTCGAATACCGGTCCAGCGTGCAAAACCAACCCTCGAAGGCACACTAGGAGCGGGAGAAATATTTGGGGCTCGGTCACGGCAACGATTCTTATCGCTTCTGTACTAATATCTTTTAATCCAAGGTTTTATTAATGAATTATCCCTGTCGTTAATTTTTTTTCTTTTTTTTTTTTTTTTTTTTTTTTTGTGTGCCTTAAAAACTACAATCCAAAAATCAAATATGAAGTTTAAGGAAACGTATATTTACAGAAAAGATTTAAACAAACAATAAAAAAATAAAAAATATTAATTAGACGGTCTTGGTAAAAGACGTTCTCTTTTTAAATTATTATATTATTGTTATATTTATAGGGGGGGTTTTCATATTTTTATTTTTAGGATTTTGCTTAGGGTAAAAGGAAATCTATCTATCGATTTACTACAAGCTCGCACAAATTCTTGTTCAACGAACAAAACCTCAGAAACTGTTGCATCTCGGGACGTGCGAATATCTTTTTAAAACTCCAGAATTTTACTGTTTGCAGGTACAGAGGCGAACACTAATATGTTTCTATGAACTTACTTTCCCCATTTGCCGTATTTCTGGAAAACCGCTTTTATAACCGACTTAACAGAAGAAGTCAAAGAGTGATTTTTCCGAAAAACAATTTTTCAACTGAATAATTGAAGACAATGTGTTATTGAGGTGAGATTTAAAAATAATAGCAAGCAGAATGTGCAGAATGTAACAATCCACAAACACCATCAAAAAGAAAGTTCCGCACTCAGAATATGACCCCTGGAATTGGGAATTGGGGGTATTATCTATTTCATAATGGTTAAACTTTAATGAATTTTTGAAAAAAAAAAAAAAACTCACGATTTCAAAGGTGCAGTGGGCAAAACTTCAGAATGAAACCTCGCACACTGTCGGAAAATATAAAGATATTTTTTTTAAACATTTGCATAGCCAAATGCTCTCGAACGTGCATGTGCGTGTAAAGGAAAGAAACGCCCCCTTAGCCAATAAAAAAGTTTCCGTTTCCATTTCTCTTTCATTAATTATTTTGTGAGTTGTAGAGTCTTAGCTCTTGAAAACACATAAATGAAAAAAGGAGCATGCGCTAGCAGGACTCGAACGTAACCTTCAATACGTGCCGAGTGTGCAACTGTTACACCACGAAAGTCATGGTAGAAGAAAGAAGAAAAAACCTTATACATTTTTAAATAAAAGTTTAAGAGCTTCCCAATAGAAACTGAATGCAAATTGTAAGTAATTCACAATATCATGAAAGTCTAACTTTAGCCTTGGTTCTCTCCTCCCGACTAATCCATTCCTTATTATGAAAGATATATTAATTGTAGCCAGAGAATGTAAAATTGGTTGGCACCAAAAAACCAGCAATATTTTTCTATTATTCAAATATACAAAATAATGCTCAATCATTACTTCAATATAAAGAAATATATACAATTTTAATGTGGTGGGAGTGTCAGAATTAACTAATTCAGACTAAACATAAAAATTACACTCAATTCAAATCCACTAGCGTAAAAGACGAAGATCAGTTTCTACTATACAAAATATGAAAATCGGAAATACTTCAAACGCTTACAAAAATGGATTATGGTTAAACTATCAAATGTATATAACAAAAGCGCGCAGGAAGTAAAGGGAGGATGAAAAATGCAATTCAGTCCGTATGGCGTATTATTCGCAATACATACAATCAAAAACTTCTAAAAATATAAGGGTGCTTCTGCCGACAATGCATTGATACTATTGTGTAAACAAGTAAACAGACATACGTTGATAACGTTCAATATGTTAATTTTCCAATTGAAGTCAACGACCATTCCAAAAAATGGTGCAATTTCGGGGCTAACAATGCTTATATACTTCTTTAAATTTACCAAAAGGAAATTTTTTGATTTGTGAGTGGGGCTCCAACCATATAAGAGCTTCTCGAACGTGACGTTCCGCCATTTTGGAAAGATGTTAACATTTGCTATTATAATTTGAAACATTTGACGCTCACATCAGTGGGAAGTTGAAGTAGTACATGCCGACGATACGCTGCACACTCACAACATTCTTTTCTGCAAAAGTTTTCAATTTGTAACAGGGCATTGAATTGAAAGAGTTAAATTACTAGAAATAAAAACTAACTTAAGAACTCCAATTATGCGAATCAATTGGGACCGGACTCCATTCCGATAATCAAAAATTGATAATGGCTCTGAAGGAAGACTCCACTTTAACAACTATACGTGCTGTATGTTGGAAATGGGAAAAGAACTAGTTTTAAAGAAAAGGAAGTTTAATTAATTAAAATGAAAATGCAACACTTTTACGTACATGTTATATAGCGTATTGTACAGTACTTACAAGTGCTGAAAGTCATTGCTTCCTGAACATCTCGGTCCAAGTAAGCTATTTAATGAACACCATGCCTGCTCTTAAAATTTCTTAGCCAGCCTTTGCTTGCTTTAAAAGATGAACAGCCAAGTTTCTGAGCTAAGATCTTAGTTTTTTCACAAAGAATCGGACCCGAGGTTGGGGTTCCCATAGAACATTGCTGCAAAAACCACTTGAAAACAACACCACCTGAATTTTTGTTTGTTGCTGCTTTCATTGATTTTCTTGAAGAACTTCCATCTTCATTTTCAAGCAGTGACATGAAGTTTAAAAGTGTAGGTTCGCTCCTTTTAATGTCTGAAATCCTTGATTGTCTAACACTGCGTTTCCATCTCAATTTGTTTTTAAAGTCTGAAAGCGAATAGTCGGAGTTCGGATAATTGGAGTTGTACTGTATTGTGTTTTCTGTACTGATAGAAAAAACAGAAGATCCTTTCATCCTATGATAAATTTATGTGGTTCTGAGATCAAGCAGGCTTCCCAACCCAGGTACCTACTTGTAACTCTAGATGCAGAACTGAGATTTTCACAACTTAAATCTCTAACAAAACCTTAAAAAGACTAAATGTTCTAAAATGATTATGTGATGCATCTTGGGGAGTCATCGAGCATGCCACTGGACCTATAGAACTCAACTCCTCAAAGAAGTACTCTCGTGAATAAATGACGCAGAAAATCCACACCGTACCGTCACTTTTGGTGAATGCAAAGAACCTCTAAGATAGGAGGTTGGATTTTCTGGTTCCCAAATTCTGCAGATATAAGTATTCACTGC